CCGTAAGGTTACCTATCGTTGGTTACGCGAGATTATAGATTGTGGAGCAACCGAGTCGCAGTTTTCCGAACCCAACACGATCAAAAAAAATCTTCAAAAATGATTTTTATTATGTATCTTGCCATATGTTAGCGATTAAACTTATTTGTGACACCCAATGTGCGGTCATAAAAGATTTAGAAACTCGAAAATATGAGAATATAGATTTCTTTGCCAGCTCTTCTAATTTCCAACTTATCCATCATGTACAAGTTTTTTTTTATAACTTGTACTAACGTTAACACATAACAATCGGTTATGATTACTTTGTCAGTGAAATGAGCTGTCCGTGAAATAAATTGTCTATAAAATGAGATACTGGTAAAATAAACTTATCTATGAATTACTGTCCGTGAAATAAATTAATCGTTTCTGTTAATCATTGTCACGAAGTAAGAGTAATATTTCCGAAATCAAGAAATAACTGCCATAAAATTCATAAAATTGCATGACAAAGATCATGACGCTTGATTGAGGCTGTGGATTTTTATTTATCATTATGACATTGAGGCTTTGATAAATTTTGTCATGAATCGGATGATAATTTATGACATGATGACACAAACGCGAACTAAAGAACTTTTTTATTACGCGTGGCAGTGTACCAAGAAAAAGCTAAGTATCGGGCTCAGATTGAGAATAATAAATCAATGTCTCTTTTGTCCCTATATAATGAGAAGTTATAAAAATGCTGTATTTTCATTTTTGTAAAAGAATAAGAACCTTTCGGGTTAAATAATTCACTCAATAAATAAAGATATAAAATCCCTAACTAAATTACCATGTTACGCCTCTAGCGAATTGCCTAAGTTTCTCTTTGTTAATTGTATTTTACTCATCTTCAAAAAAATTTAATACTACTGCCAATATAACCTTTGCTAAATTTATCAGACTTTTTTAATAAACTTTTTAGCAAACCATATTATGTAAAACTGAGTATTTTACGGATGGAGATATACTTCTATACTATTTTTAAAGGTAGTATTCTATAAAGTTTAGCTTTATTCTAATCAAATTTTTTTTTTCTTTTTTTTTTTTAGCTAGCAACTAGGGTTGTTATAACTTACTTGACAACTTACTTTACATGGTAAATTACGGTTATCTGTAACTTACCTGGGCCATATGTAAGTTAGCCAAATCACATGACAATTTCTACCAACGGCGGCAATCAAATGACCAATTACGTAAATCAATTATTTAGGCCAAATTTATAAATTGAGTTATTTTTGAGTTATATGTATAACTTACATACCTTACAACGTAAATTACAGTATAATTTACTGACGATTACATGTAACTTACACAAAATTTAACAACCCTACTAGCAACTTTTACTTTTCGTTAGCAATTTTACTGCTTTAAAAAAATTCGTAACAATCATTAAAATTCTGCGATTTGGCCAAAATTATATAAATTGACCGGCATTACGATCCGAAAATTCCGGCCAAAATTTAAAAATTAACGTTAGCCGGGATTACGATGGTTGCAGATCCTAAATTCAGGCCAAGGATTTTTGAAAATGAATGCCATTTAATAAGCCTATTTCATGAATTCCTGCAAAATTCTGTGAATGCAGAAATCATCGTCCCTGAATCCGAGTAAAAAAAATAGTATAGAAGTACAAAAAAAGAACCGGAAATAAGGTACTACAAATATACTGCTGCGACTGTGATTATGTTATTCTGATATAATAACGATTAGGCTCAGAATAATGAATTATAGTTTTTTCTGATTATTGAAAAAAGACACAAGATAAATATCTGTTATGTTTCTGAATCTAAATTTTTGGATGATTTTTCTATATCTAAATTTTTGGATGATGTTTCTAAATTTTTGTATTTATGCTTACGCCTAGATGTAAAAGCACGATGAAGACTAAATCTGTCTTTTTCAGATGTTTTACGTGTAGTACGCCTTTGTCTAGCTATATCCCACACTTTTATTGTAACAGCAATGAAATCCTTTACCATATCTATAGGATTAAAAGAGTCAATTATACTTTTAATTATTGATGTTTTTTCTTTGTTGCCGAATACTTGGATGCCAAAATCACGAAATGGTTTGTAGGGAAATGCGTAAACATGTAAAAAGGCGAAGATCACCATTTCAGCGCAGATTATCAGGGAACCTATGCCACGGCTGATATTGGCGCTCGTCCTTTATTAACAAAGGCAAAGTTAGTAGCAAATTTAATAAACATAGTTTGATACATATATATATAGAAAAGATAAAGATAGTAGAGATTGATACCAATATCGACTTTCATGGATTACTCCTATTAAATTTTGTTAGAAACTGATCCAAAGGATTTAGATAAATAATCGATATAAATAACAAAAGTGAATTTACCATAAGATGCCAAAATTGAGAGACCGAGAGATTGCCAAAATGAAAAGAAAACAACCTAAAAAAAAAAGAAAAAAAAGGGTGAGAGAAAGAGAGAAACATTAACTCATAAGGAAGATTGTTGGCAATCCTTTAAAAAAATGAACAAATAAAATTTACCAACTTAACACAGAGAAATTTAAAAAATGGCCGTTCTGAAGCAATGGCGTCATTGATTGCTGAATAAAATACAATCTACAAGATTTTGTATGAATAAATGATTTCTTAATCGTAATACATACGTACGTAAGTACGTTCGTACTCACCAAAGCATACATCGCGATAGTGACACAAATAACCTGTGCAGTCTTTAGATAAACTTTTGCAAAAACCAAACTCATACTTTCTGCGCAATAAACACCAAAGGCTTCGGTAATCAAGGTCGCAAATGTGATGATTGGTATCAACGCAACGTATTGTAAAATGCCCCATTTAACAATATTCGAAAAACTTTCACTTGTTGGTCGATATCTATAATAACAAAGAGGAAATGGACATGACTTTTTTGCAGCATTATCTAACATCTCCTTGCTTTCTTCGGGAGAATCTTCAACATATTGCGTGAGAAGGGCGAAGAATGCCGCGAGAACGAATGCTTCATAACAATCTCGAACGGTTTCGAAATAGATGCTATAATGAAAGAATCGGTATGATAACCATGATATAACTGCATATATCGGAACCATTAAAACAATTCGAATGATATGCCGTTGATATTCTGGCTAGGAAAAGATTAAATTATACATGTCATGTGAATAATATAATCTCTCTCATCTTGTAGAATAAATTTTAAGCCTACTAACACGGTGATAAAATTGTGAATGCTTTATTATCAAATATAGTGAAACAACCGTCGCTACAAATGCACATAAACCAGACACTGCCCAACCTATTCTATGAGCTAAAATTAAATTTTATCAAAAAATAATCTTGATTAATTTATTTTAATTTATTTAGTAGAAATAACGAATGAATAAATTTATTTACCATCAAAATGTGGACCATTATCCCAAAAAGCTGATGGATCGTTTTCTATCTTATTTTCTGATGGGCATGTTGTGTTTACGAATTCTTTCGCCATGTCTTCCATTTTGGTCTTATGTGAACGAAATTATTATCCGTAAAAATAAATTCTATTACAAACGCACGGTCATATATACGCACGTACGTATTTACTATATACTGTATTCAAAACGTTATCGTTATAATAACGATAACGACGAGGTTAAACGAGAATGAACTTAATATGGAAAACCTTCATGTTTACGCGACTGATCATTACGCAGCCACATTCAGCCTCATTGATTCTCAATGTTATTGCCTTTAATAAAAAGGAAAGTTTAACAAATCTCTCCTTTTATAGTTTAATACAATTCGGCTTAAAACATAATTTTGGTCAATATTACGATTAATGTACTTTTGCAATTATTTTATCCATATATCAACTTATATATGTCAAAAACGAATACTAATACGTAGTATCACTATGGATATGTACGTACGTACGTACGTGTTACGTTAACACCTTCTTATGAAAAATACAGGGAACTGTTCGTATACGTGGTTTCTTGGTCTCTACCCGACCCCTAATTGATTAACGCATTTCTCCTACAGCCTGACATTATTCTACCGGATAAAACAAGTAGAATGAATTTATTTGCTTTCTGAATTGTTCACTCATAATGATCTTCGCTGAAGGCTAGTGATTGATCTCCCCATGTTTGTACCAGTGCATGAGGATTGATAGGCACTTTGTAAGCTTAACAGAAATTCGGGTATAGCTAAAGCGGTAAACCAATGTTACATTATTAGTTTTTTAGAGTTACCTTTTCGATACATAAAAATTTTCTTAACATTATCTAAAGTCATAATATCAAATTTATTAGAAACATACACTGAGTAGTGGTGTTATATGGTCTGGTCTAAACTGATGGACCACAGTTAATCTTAAGACCGATCTGAAGCTGAAAAAATTGGTCTGCCCTTAGTCTTAAGACCAGACCGGTCTGGACTGGTCAATTCTTAAGAATGTAGACTATTAAAAACTGGTCCAGACCGGACTGTTAACATCCCTAATACTCTGGCAATTATAAATCATGCAATGCTGAATTTTAAAAATTTTTAGGAATCTGTTAAACAGTGCACCGTGCATTTAATACAAACCTTCAATATATTGAGAGTTTACTAACATAGCCCATCGTGTAACTAACAAAAACTGTTTATTTCGCAATTTTACCTTAACCCTAATTCTGATTCTAATCTTTATTATTACTTTAATAGTGTGTTTATTTGCTGCTATAGCAATAGGGATGCATTGAGTAAATGGGTTTACTGTTTAATTATTTTATTTTTAAATTGGTATTGTTTATATATAGTTGTTTTTTTTTTGTTTTTTTTTTTGTAGTCAAGGTTAGCCTCTTTGGCTTATCACGTTTATTAGATTGTAGAATCATGTGGTGTCCTTTTCAAGGGGCCCCAGACAAATACATTCTGACGAGGGTACATTCTAGCCATACCTGCATCTTTTGAGCGCCTAATTTAAGTAGTCTGCCTATTACTAGGTTCTACACTAGATGCCGTATCTATAACCCACCTATTATTTGGGTTACCCAATTAAGCCCTCTAATCTGAGTTTTCTATGCCAATCCATCTAATCTCATCCAAAACATGCGATATATTAGTCAGTCCAAGTTCTAGGATTATTGCGAACTATCTATAGGATTACTGGCTTGGTTAACTAATTCATCCTCAAGGTTATCACCTGCTAGAGCAATTTGGTACCTACTATTATCAAATTATTTAGTTTTTTTCAGATAAGTTTTGCCAGATAGGTTCTTTACCTTTATGGGTAGGCCACACTGCCAATTCCTTCTGCAGATAAGTTCACTGGATAGATTCTAAACCTTTACAGGCAGGCCACATCACAGAACTTTCTGGCTCTTGCAAAGTTCACCCAAACTTGGTATCTTCCCTTCAAGACAACCCAGTATCTTCCCTTTTAGTATCCTAGCTGGTCTTCTCAGACTACCAATTCAGATGGTCCGAAAGGGACACTGGTTCTGTGGTATCTGCCAATCTTTTTCCTTCAATCGATGCTCAAGCTGGTGGATTGGTTGGTGGAGCAACTTGTTGAGTGCTCTTGCTGTGTCCAGTTATCCAGCCTCAGGTGAAGCCTATTTTAGTAGTCACTGTTAAAAGTCTATACTACTTCTCTACTCAGGTCTTGCTAAACAGGTGTTTATCTTTCTGGTTCATTGAGTTTATATAAACACAAGGTTTTATTTTGGGTTTGCATCAACTAATATCAGCTTGCATGCCTTTGTGTAATTTATGCATTGCATAAATACTTCATGATTTCCTAATCTTGTTAGTGTTACCAGAGTTATAGAAATCCTGTTTCAACTGACCGTTGAAAGACAGTAGCCATTGTACAAGCAGAATATTTAAAATTTTGCTATTAGTGGGTTTCAAAGCTCCTATCTGCCAATATGTTAATTAGAAGTATGACAACTTAACTAATTCATTAAGCCACTAAACCTTTGTTATTTTTTTTTATCATTACCTTTATAATCACAACTTCTATATAATTATACAAAATTTTGCTACTATTTTTTATATTTAAATAATTACAATACAAATAGTATATAATTACTATTATACTTTTTAAAAATTTTTTAAATTTTTTTATTAGCAAAAATATTTTATATAATTATAATACAAATAGTTATTACTATATATAAAGTTAAAAAATTTTTACTTTAGTAATTTTGTTAGAAATTTTTTTGTAATTAAAGTTAGTCTCTTTGGTTTATTGCTTTTATTAAATTGTATAATTATGTAATGCACTTTTTCAAGAGGCCTCAAACAAGTATATTTTGATGAAAATATATATAAATATACAGTATATACAATTTTAGTTATTGTCTATTTAAGGGCTCAACTATATCTATTTTTATTTATAGTTATGCTCTATATATTATATCTAAGATCTGTCTGTAGATCTTCTATTTAAATCCTCTAATCTGAGTTTTTTATACCAATTTATCTAATCTTATTTGGTATTATAAGATATATAAGTTATTTCATAATCTAAGATCATTGTGAACTATCTATAGAACTATTAATATAGTTAATCAATTCATCTTTAAGTGCATTAT